GTGCACTCCTGCCTCACTCTCTGTGTGCACAACTGCCCCACTCTCTGTGTGCACTTCTCTCTCATTCTCGGCTCTACCTCTCTCTCTTACCTCAAAAGAACAGAAAGATTTTAGACAACCGGAGCCATTTGGCCCCTCCAGCCTAATTGATCTGAGGATCACCCAGCTATTTCTTGAAAAAAGCCAGGCTATCAGCTTTAACAACATGGCTGGGCAGCCTGTTCCAGACTCCCACCACTCTTTGTATAAAGAACTGCCTTCTGCCCTGATTCTGATGCAGCTGTTTCTTGAAAGAAGCCTGGCTACAGCAGCCTGTTCCAGAGTATTCACATTCAAAGAGCTTTGTTTGCATGACCGATTTATAATAGTGTTACCAGGGCAATAACACTTAGCAGAACATTTTCAACAAAAACGTATTACTGTTTGAGAGGTTGTGACAGGAGATCACATACTGGGCTGTAGCTCTGTTGTTTCCTCCCCAGTAGGATTGGGAAATGTTCTGATTCCTCAAGGTGTGGGAAATTCTGGGATTAGTTTTGTTATTTTAGGGAAGAATGTTTGTCTAATCCCAGAACATTTCTTACTGTGCAGCAGAAAGTGCATCTCTGTCTCTGTTTCATCCTGCTGGCAGTGGGAGCACAGCCTGTCCTCTCTGGTCTGTCTGTGTCCAGTGTCTATGGACAGTGATTATATCCTCTCTGGACAGCCAGATCTGTCAGTGTCCAGTGTCTGTGGACAGACTGTGGTCAGTGATTATATCCTCTCTGGACAGCCAGGTCTGTCTGTGTCCAGTTTCTCTGTCCAGGCTGTGGTCAGTGAGTCTGTACTGGTCAGGGTCTGTTTCTCTTTGCTGTCTCTTACCCTGGTCAGATACTCAGCTTGTGTGTACTGTCTGTTTAGGGTCCTGTAGCATTCCAGTTTGTGGTGTGTGTGTGTGTGTGTCCCAGGCTTGTGCTGTGATTGCTTGACTGTGACTGGTGTTGCTGAGGCTGGCTGGTGTCAGTGAGCTTCAGGACCAGCTGGCTGAGGGGCTCTCCTCTGGGCTCAGCAGGGCCTTGTGCTGGAAGGAGCTCTGGTCACTGCTTTTAAGCAGAATTTCTTTTTCCCTCCCCCTCTCCAGTGTAATCCAGGACGGTCAGTAATCCCACTGAGCAAGATGGGCTCTTAATCCGATCAGGCATCCTGAGAAGAATCAGATGGTTGATGGAGGGACTGTGTGTGTGAGTGTGTGTGTACAGAAGTCATGCAGGATGAAGCTGTGCCTGATCAAATAGGCACCAGGTCATATTTGAACCCTACAGTCCAGAGATCAGCTCCTGATGGTGTTTTGAAGGGGTAGGCTGGACAGGTGCCCTGCCTGGAGTCAGCAGCTCGCAGTGATTTGCAGGGGACTCCCTGCCCTGATCATGTTCGTGCTGGAGGTTCGAGCCCCCAATTCTGCCCCTGCCCCCACCCCCACTGTGTGTGATCCTGAACTGCAGATGGCGTGTGTCTTTACTGACACTGTCTGTCTTCTCTTGTAGATGAATCGGCCCATCCAGGTGAAGCCTGCAGACAGTGAGAGCAGAGGAGGTAAAAACACACCTGGGCACTGCCACACACACTGACACTGACACACCTGGGCACTACCACACTCACTGACACTGACACACCTGGGCACTGCCACACTCACTGACACACCTGGGCACTACCACACTCACAGACACTGACACACCTGGGCACTGCCACACACTGACACTGACACACCTGGGCACT